GATTCTAGATGATAAGTTCACTTCAGATGACGGTTTGACAGTCGAGTGGCTGAAAGTTACAAAAGTTACATTTTATAAGTATTATCGCTAAGTAACTACGAGTAGTCAGTTATAAAATGTGTATTTGGGGCATTTGTAAAAATGACATCCATATCTTTGAGCATTGACCCCGTTTATCTTAAGATACTCCTTAAGATAGGTCATATCTCTGACACATACAGTTATGATATATATTACTTAATCTGGACATCTAGTTCACTTATTATCCAATAAAACACTCCCGGTAGCGATTGTCACATATATAACAGGAAGGCAGTTCTCCAGTCTAAATGAACGCGAGTACGTTTTAATGAGATCCTAGATGTCTGCTGGCGTGTATCAACAAGATATTTCTTCAGACTCTTTCTTCATATTTTATTCCCATTATGTTCACATCGCACTCGAACGTCACTTTCAATTTGAAGTGAATCGTTGATAGTGCGCTTCTGGCCTACGTCGGTGGGACTCGGGACAGATTTATGTACGAAGGTTGATAACTTCTGAGCTTCACGTAGGAAGCCCTCGCCTCAACATAATCTCCTTTCAAGTTGATATACTTTTACCAACCGTCATTTATCATAGTTTCGTAGAACCTTTGAGCTGCCAAAATCTGCTGTAACGTCATAGGTGAGTTCCGTCTATATATTTCTTCATGTTTGGGAACAGATGAAAATCTGAGGCAATATCAGAACAAAGTGTTGTTTCCCCTCCACACCAGGGGAAACTAGAGTTCCAGCCATACCAGTTTGTGCAGTATATTAGTGCATTGTCCTGATGGAAAGGAAGAGCACATCCTTCTCATTTTCCCTTTTCTCTGTGTCCAAATTGTAACGAACAATTGCAGCATAATATGCTTCGTGTATTGTCTGGCCCTTCTGATGATAATCCACCATGATGTCACAGTCGGCATCCCAGCTGATGGGACAGATTTTCTAGTCTTCAATGGTGCTGGTGACGTCAAATGCTTTCTCTATTTTGACCCTTGTTGAATAAACTCAAAAACTGTTTCATACAGCGTCACAGATCGTTACTATACCTTTCTGGGTAAACCTTTTCGTAGACGCTTTGGTACCCATCGAGCTTTCACTTTCTTCATTGTCAAGGTTTCTATGACAATGGAATAAAGGCTTTCCTGGCACATGGCTGCTGAAGTAGCAATATGATACTCATCAAATGTTGTAGATTCTCTTAATTACTATTCTGTTGGTGCTGACGTGACATGCCTTCTTGGATAGGGATCGTCTCCCTGTCAATTTGCCCAGTATTCTTATGGATGTACCTCACTGTCATCATGTTGTGTCGACAACGGATGAGCGTGAAATAATAATTTTAAAATAAACTGAAGATAATAGGTTTCAGCAGGCGAGGTTTGCCTCAGATTAATCATCATTCTTGTGTATGATGTACATCGTTTTGAAGCAGGTCCCGTTGAAACAGTAAAGTTCCATAAAAGAGGGGAAAGAGGAAGGCTTATTTTCTGGAATTGCAAGTAATCTTGCTGGTGGACTACCTTCATTGCCAGTGTTATGCTAATGAGAATGTCATCGTCATAGATAATGTAAACTAAAGTTGTCTTGTATCACCTGAAGATTTTGCCACTCTTAGTTATTACAACCCATTGACCACCATCCGTATTCATCTGATTTGAAATTGTCTGACTTCTTTCTCATTCTGAACGTGAAGAAAGAAATAGTTGGTAAGCCTGCAAATGAAGATGACGTTATTTGTGCTGCGGGGGACTTTTTACACCATCAGAAAGACACCTTCGACAGCAGACTGATGCGAGCAATCAAGTATACCTGGCTTAGGTGTGTGGACTCCGGAGGGGGTCGAAGCGAAATTAGCAAGCAATTAGTTTTCAGCGACTCCTCCATTACGTGTACCTTGTTTATTTGGGTTTATCAGTTTTGCAATTTTGCATCTGCAGACAACCTCTGAGAAAATTTCCTAAATCTTTGCGTGCATTGTTTCTATGCTCTTCTCATAACTGGACAAAGTGAACAAACTCTCACTCCTTCATTTCGAGGGCGATGTGGTTGAAAATATGCATATGTATGTGTCCGTTTTGTTTGTAATTGTTTCTGTCCATCACTGCGACCTGTTAATGAAAATGGTCCGAGTTTAAAGTTATATTACGGGCAACGTCCCACGCCGCGATGACTTATGAAAACACCCAGGTCGTCGATCCTGACCATTCGAACAACGTAACCGACTCTTACGACATGTTTTGTTTAATGTTTTCGAGTCTCTGAAGAAATGTCAACTCCTTAAGGGTAAAGTCCTACAAGAAATATAAAGACTCTGAGCCCACGGCGTCTGAGGAGATATGGATCTCGCTAAGCAGAGTGTACCCAAAGTGTAAAATCCTACCAGAAATATACAGACTTGCAGAGAATACGGTCTCTAAAGATATGTGGATCTCCCGAAGGCTAAAGTCATAAAGTTTCTGGATATATGAAGATTAGCGTAATCAGTTAGGGCTTGAGACGATCATCCGAAAGCTTTTGAACTGCGCAGAGACAACGACTAAAGTACAACCAAAGATTGGTTAAACGTACCCGTGCTTTCTATAGAAAAGCATAGACCATGATTGGCAACTTCTTTAGTATTTGCATTGAATTTCCGGGGATACCTATTTCAGGTTAATGTTACGGATCTGCAATGTTTTTTGGCAGGTGTTACCGAAAGACAGCATTATGTTCTGATTTCACTTCATGTTATCCCACCAAGCATGTGTGTATCCGGTATTGCTTTGGTATGTGTGTTAAATATATCTCACATTACTATGACGGATATGATTGCACTGTACAACACACGCCATAGGCTCATAATTAGTTTCAGTAGCATGTGAAATTAAAGGCGTCATATTACCAACTGCATTGTACTTGGACTGATGAGGAAAGCGCAGTATATAAGAAGGAACAGTGTCTGATTCAAATGCTTTGCTCAGAAGCTGTTATGATCGCGTGACAAATATATATCTTTCGCGTTTAAGGTGAGGCAACATTACGACATAACATCTTCCTTACACATAATCTTCTTTTAACACGTACCCTCACTCTATGTGACATTCTCATACATTACACATTCCAAAACAAAAACACATTCTCATCTTGGCATATTTCTCATTTTCAAAAACATTCCCAGACTCTTTTACTTTATCAGATTCAATATGGCAATGACAGAGAATGATAAGTCTCGAATATCGGCCTGAAAATGAGATGGTCACTCCCACATCAAGCAGATAAACAGTGATATTAGAAACTACTGTTCTAAGTGCCGTTAAACACGTCTCATTCAACTGCGTAGTCTAGCACAGATTTACACCCTCACACATATCCTCACACTCACAAACATCCCGACCCTTACATTTTCTCATCCTAACAGAGATTCTCACCCTTAAACAAGTTTTTATTCTCACAGACGCAGTCACTTTAATTTCAAACACGTTCTCACATTCACACCTTACATGTTCTCGCTTAGTACCCATTTTCGCCTTCCTCGGGTTCACACACAACTTTCAGACACAGATGCACCTTCACTCATTCCAACCTTCCTCATTTTCGTCTCTCACGCAATTTTAAACTCACATTTTATCCTCATACAAATTATCGTTCTCACATACATTCACATCATCGCATACATGTCCGACTTCCTACACATTCATATCTTCACTTGCATTCTCACCTTCTCATCATTTCTTACCCTGACTGCATTCTCACCCATTTCTCCCCGTCGTGATATTGATTTGCTGACCTCTGTCATGATTTCTTACCCTGACACCAACAAGCATTTCAACATTTCTGCTCATTCCCGCTGACCCCGTCCTCCATTGTCGCCTTTGCCTGCTAATTAGTGGCCATTCAGTCCCAGCCACACCTTTCGGGAGTTGATGTTTTCAAAGTGGCTGATTACTCGATCTCGACCTGTGTTCCTGCTGAGGAGGTAAGGCATTGTGTGAAAACACCTGCTCTGACAGATTATTGCTAATCCGGCGTGAATGGTAAATGTGTCTGGTCGCAGGCTCCAGGAAGGGCTTTACGCACGTGTAGTTATGAAACTGACTGTAATTAAAATAATTTGATAGAATTTGTCACCGATTTCATTTTCTTCTCGATAATATCTGTAATTGAACATTATGTTGATTTTGAGACTGGGAATGAATTTTTGGAGGGGTTTGGTTTAACCATTGTCTTTAAAACCAGTTGGAATGTGACAAAAATACTGATGTTGTTATCCTTAAAACGTTCAACATCTTTACGATCCGGTATCCTCTAACTGCCAAATCGGAAACTGATGACATTGTACATGTTTCACTTATTCCTTCAGCGACCACTATACCACGTGCATCAGGGTTTGTGGGAATAATGATATACCATATAGTCTCTGACAACACAGGACAAGGTAATAGTGTAGCTATGATGTTATGTACCAACAGTGACTCGCTCCCTTTCTCTGTCGTGAACCTTAAGCTTCACCTGATCCAGTCACGCTCAGTTACTGTAATGTCGACAAACGTCCCCTTGGCGGAGCTTATTTCAAGCTTGATTTAACAATAGATACCAAAGCGCTGGATACTTTTTCCAATAACGTGTCTATCCCATTAGCCCTAGCCCTTATCCCATGGCATTCTGTCCTATTGAAGCACAGTACCTACTCGATCGAAATGTATTTTATGGGTAAAATTTATATTCATATCTGTCAGAATTTCAAGCAGGTGCGTGCTCCAAGATACCCAGACGCCCGTTAAATGGCTAGTGACAAACCTCGATAACCCGTCAGAGTAATCCAGATTGAACTTAACCAATAACAGAACTGCGAGGGTTAGGTTGATTTGACAGAAGCAGTTATCTCCCTTGCCACGATGGAAAGAAGGCTGATGATACCTATGTTCTTCAGGTTAGGGATTGAGTGGCTCGTTTAGTGGTGCATTCAAACAGTATATCTGGTAAGACCCCCAGTATCGGACTAATGCTATTATAGTCTCCGTCGGATACAGTTGTATTCGTTGTAGGATTGTGGTGTGGGGCACTGAGTGGTCATGTCACAAATGGACCCAGACAGTTCTACTTTGTGATTCCTGATGTTTGTGAGGGTATTGTTGGATATAAATCATGGACCGGGTTTCTTGATGTGAGTATAACAAACATACGTTGGTGGATGTTCGTTCATGATAGACACCGGTCACTGTTGTCATTATGTATGTATTGTTAATTATTCAAACTGTTATGCAACGCCATGCGTCGTTAGCAACGGCTTTGACTACAAGCTTCTGCTGGACACAACATGTTAGTTTTACGTAAATATTTTATTAGCACAACACATTTCCTAAAAGTACAACTATAGTGTCTCCTATATATTTTGAAGATAATCCCTCCTAAACAAATATCAACAAAGAGGTTTTAGGTTATTCATCAACTGAAGAGTCTCAAACTTGTAATTATGTAACAATTATATATTTATACACATTTTTATTTAATTTTCCCCGCCATTTGCACAACATATGTGACACAAACTACCACTAGCTTGTCCTTTGTCGCGTGTATCATATATGATGTATGCCGTTTGTGTGGAGTTGTCAACGTAGTGACGCCGACTGTTGATGGTGTATGGAGTGGTTACTGACTGGTTCACTGTTGTAAACAGTTTTAACACACGCCGATTGTATGGAGTTTTAACTGACACCGACTGTTGATGGTGTATGGAGTGGTTACTGACTGGTTCACTGTTGTAAAGAGTTTTAACACACACCGATTGTACGGAGTTTTAACACACGCCGATTGTATGGAGTTTTAACTGACACCGACTGTTGATGGTGTATGGAGTGGTTACTGACTGGTTCACTGTTGTGAAGAGCTATAACACATACCGATTGTATGGAGTTTTAACACACGCCGATTGTATGGATTTTTAACACACGCCGATTGTATGGAGTTTTAACGCACACCGATTGTATGGAGTTTTAAGCACACATCGATTGTATGGAGTTTTAACTGACACCGACTGTTGATGGTGTATGGAGTGGTTACTGACTGGTTCACTGTTGTGAAGAGCTATAACACATACCGATTGTATGGAGTTTTAACACACGCCGATTGTATGGATTTTTAACACACGCCGATTGTATGGAGTTTTAACGCACACCGATTGTATGGAGTTTTAACACACGCCGATTGTATGGAGTTTTAACGCACACCGATTGTATGGAGTTTTAACACACGCCGATTGTATGGAGTTTTAACGCACACCGATTGTATGGAGTTTTAACGCACACCGATTGTATGGAGTTTTAACGCACACCGATTGTATGGATTTTTAACACACGCCGATTGTATGGACTTTTAACACACGCCGATTGTACGGAGTTTTAACGCACACCGATTGTATGGAGTTTTAACACACACCGATTGTATGGACTGACGTTGACTGTTGATGGTGTATGGAGTTGTAACTGACGCCGATTCTGTATACATCATCACATAAAAAAACTACAATTACTGTGCAGAAAGAATGATACATTTATTTGTATATATCGTCTACATTCATACGGGTTCGGGAACTCACCACAGGTCTCATCGAATAACTCGTTTCAAAAGTACAAATAATTTGCTTAACTGTAACAGTGAAACGAAAGTGAAATTGACTGACGACATTCAATCTGTCATTGAGGCCAGTGTACGTGTTGGTATGCGTGCGTGTGTTGATTTCACTGAATGTAACCCAACAATATGATTGATGAAGTTCAGGGCACCGAAGAAATAGACAAACCGTAACCTGTTGATGTGAAGGGTGGACAACAAACTAATAGACTCACTATATTGCACACATACAGGTCACCTTACATTGTGTTAAAATGTCTGTGTGGTACACCCACCCAACTGGTGTAAATGGTTTTGTATTGGTGTGAAGACAACAATATCACAGTTATATCCAAGCGGTCTATAAATGATTGAATCTGAACCAGGCAAACCAGTGGTTGATATTACAAGCAGAATCTGGGCATTCAATCCAGTTTAATCATTTAGAAACAGCAGTGCTGGGGACCTATTCCTCCTCAGGGCTCCACGGGGCATGTGTATGGTATATAAGCATACATTTCCTGATAATATATCTAAGATGTACATGTTTGCAAACATATATCATACTCCCCAATTAGGAATACAGACGCGTGTTGCTAACAGCGTACAGTGAGTGAGGGACTGAGAATAATGATACACGTACACATGGTCAGTAAGTCAGTCTTGTCTTGTATTTTGGCAACCCCATAATTTGTGATTTTGGGCTGTAAAAATTGCAACTGTTATGTTTAGGAAGATAAAGCACTCTGAATGAATGAAATATTGAGTAGTCTTCAAAACCTGTTATAAATCATCTGGTGAAAACTGCTGTTGCCATGAAATAAGATGTCATACTACTGACAGTTGTCTAAATGATCCCTTAATATATCCTTACATGCGTCGTTACTTAACAGTGGCAAGGGCATTAGCTTTATCTCAAAAAGTCGTTTGTCATATCCATCTCCTAAAACGATAGGGTAAGTAATTAGCACGCCAAGGAATAGGCCGGAGTTCGATTGGATACAATGTTTAACTATACATGTATGTTATTATATAATTATTCAACCCGGAACACTCGCGACATATTATTACATATATGATGATAGGTTAGGTGCCCTAAATGAATTGTTACTAAAAAAGTGAAATAACATGAGTGGAATATTTATGCATCTGAACACTACACTACACTACACTACACTACACTACACTACACTACACTACACTACACTACACTACACTACACTACACTACACTACACTACACTACACTACACTACACTACACTACACTACACTACACTACACTACACTACACTACACTACACTACACTACACTACACTACACTACACTATCAGATGCGGGCATTTCGTCCTGGCTGTCATGTAGATACGTGACAGAGTTCTACATTCAGTATTGTAACCTTGTATCAATTCATTGTCCAGGCCAAGCATCTGTCCATGGATTGCGTTAAATAATTCAAGGTCATGGCGTCTGCTTTGAGAAGGGACATGTCACCAGCATGCAGATATTGCAATAAAGGGAGAGTAACATGTCGATCACATGAAGCCTAAAATACTCTTAATGGACCTCCCTGGATGTGCCTTCTTCTAACTAGTAGAACGGCTGTGTGGGGCTGCATCTGTTCATGATAATAAGGGCAAACTGCCCGTGGGGTAGTGTTCCGTGTATGTACTGGCATAACTCCTTGTTGAAATTACCACGAGTCTTTGTTGGACACGTTAAAATAACATAGCAGAAAATGGTATATACAGTTCATCACGAACCCAGTGAGTATTGTCACCTATTCTTATTGACATACGAGTATGATCACGGCTATTCGCTATACTGAGCCCAGAGTCCAATACAAATGAGTTGAATTCCACATGGCTGGGGTGGAAGTAGTCAAAGGACTGACTTTATGTGGGATGCTGAATTATAAGTGATTTTGAAGGAACAATGGACGCAGTCGTGTTGTTAGAATTTGATGATATGTACGGTCTGAGCTAATACATCCGTTTAAAACTATATTTGATACTGAAGGTGTAAAAACATTTTATGCAAATGTCCATTGTATCGACTCTCAGTTTACCTTAATTTCCTAACTGTGACCTCCTGACCTTAAATGATATTTCTCGTTTAATTAACCTGTGTGATACGTTAAGTGATAAAACGACTTGATATATATTTTACAACTTTATATATATATAATTCTTTACAACCAACAATAAACGACATGCATCTGTCTAACAACAATGCCATGAACATATGCATATGTACAGACAAACGTGGTCTTCGTGAAATGTACACGTGTTAATTTCCCCGTCAAGCCCTGACCTCGCCGACACCTTTATCAGTCAGATGTCTATACCTGTCGTCTCTTATGACATAACACTCTCTCGAGACCCAATCAACACCCTATAGGATGCTTCCAATGATATATGCAATGTTTGACCAATGTTAAAGCTCGTGTATAAACTATTGACATTGTCAGTCATAATTGTAGTTCAAATATTTGTTCTACGCAGTACTTGTTGACACTACGGATTTATGCTTCATTCTCTTCAAATGAGAATGAGACCCGCTTTCCAGTTATCTTTAAATTACAATTTGTGCAATCTGTTTGACCCAAGATTTACCTATACATGACAATTAAATAAACCTATTATTTCTAATTACGTCTTTGATAAGCATGTCGATATTAATGTACATCAATCTATTCAAACTTTTAGAAATGAAGTTCATATCAGTGATGGCATAATACTATTATTATACGCTCATACTGACTGTGTTTTATTATAATTCATTAAAATATTTTAATTAGTACTATAGTATATTATTGCAATAAGGGCATATGTTTCTACGTTAACATTACATTTCTGTTTCATGTGGAACAACATTTGATTAAGTCCATTCCATAACTGGCCTACCGCAAAAGGCCTTCGTTCAAACGTTGTGTTCAACATTTTCAGTCAGCAGTGAATGGGTACCCCACAGGTTGATACGCTGGTGATTAACAGACAAAGGAACTAAGAATGTTGTTAAAATACACAGTGACGAATTAAACCGACCGTTTTGAGTGTGTGTTTTTCAGTATTAATTTATTTTGCAATAGGGATACTGAAGTGTCTGGTGTAACATTGTAAAACAGGAATATATCATCTCAGTTGACGAGTATTTTATGTGATTATAGCAACATGTTCAACCCGTTGTGCAGTGTGTGAAGTTGTCGAGGTCACTGCAAAGTCGAACGTAGGTACAAATCTCTTTATTATTCCACGATTAAGGCCACGGACGTCTGTAAATCTGCATTAGGGGGTTAATCCAGGGAGACCTACGTAGAAACAAGGATTATATTCCCCTACTGGTTACATTCTGTTAATCTCTCAGCCACTTGCTTTGAAGCGAACCTCAACTGTTCCCGACTGCACATAGTTAATTTATGATTATACTCAATAGTACACGAAAGCCACACTCTCACATGGCCATGCAGAAACTCGTTATAAGGATATCATGAAATATTTCCATGTGCCACAGGAAGGTTTGAAGGCGTGACAAGGTAGTTTGATTTGTCATGAAAATCATTCAACATTTATAGGCTTTGCTTTTAGTCCCTTTTGTCAGACATATATATTTCAGGTTTCTATCATAATATGAACGCATATGTATTTGTTTCTACGGTAATCTCGTACATTATGGTACCCTAACAGTCACGTGGGTCTCGTTGTTATTATAAATGTAATGATAATTGTGATAAGACTGTTGATAACAGCACGCTGTTGGTTCTGTTAAGGCCTTCTCGAGTAAGGAATATAAATAGGAACCCGCCTCGTGTGATTCATGCAGAACTTTTTCAGCGCAATTTTAACTTGCGGCCAATTGAATGTGTTGGATGGCCGTGACTGTTTATCCTCTATTCTATTATATATTTCTACGTTTTCAACCTTGTATATTTCAGGATCCCATGCAGGAGTGAAACAATTTTTGTGATTAGTCCTGAAACCATTAAAAACATTTAAACATCCATCAAGTATACATTTCGCTTCGGTAATTTCTGAATTATATTTTTATGTTTTTTTTCTCCACAGATTTTGACCTTAGCAGATGCCTGTGGTGATGTCCATTCTAGGCTGACGTCCTAGAGAGGAGATCAAGCCCTAGAGCACAGTCTCCTATGTCCATCCGTCTGTCCGTCCACAGACCCGAGTTGACCATGCCTGTCCTCACTGAGTCCTCCCAAAGACCAGCCTGCATGCCCGGATCTAAGGACGAATGCTTCCTGCCACGAATCTCACAACGAGGCTCCTGCTCTGACTCCGACTCAGTTGTTGAATGCAGAAGAGGAGCAATTGCCCGAGTTCCGCCCAGTGCTGCTACGTCTGTGTCCAGTAGTCCAGTCAAGCTACCAGCCATATCCGGGAAGGCAAAGTCCAATAGTGTTTCCAGTCTTTCCAATGGGATGTCTCCTACCCGGAGAGAGGACCAGAGATCCAATCTGTGCCGCTCTCCGAGCTGTCCCTCCAACCTGGGATTCTGGTACGATCGTGACGGGGATACTGAGACACCAACTCCGGTTGACAACGGTTATTCATACCCAGTCTCTCAAATTTCGAAAAGAGATTCTGGAGATTTGAAGTTACCGAACATCAAAGATCGGAATTCAATGTGTAGTGGAGCAAGCCAGATCACTGTCCGGAGTCTGGCCACTCAGAGAAGTCCGACAAAGTTGAACCGAGATATCAGTCCTCACACTTGTAGACGGGACACGTCTGTATCTCTCTCCCTCAATCGGGACGTCACAAAGGACATACCCACTCCTCGAGCTGAAAACGTACTTGACAGTCAAAGGTCAAACACCCAAAGTGCACTTTTACTTCCCATTCGGAATTCGGAATCCAGGTTGTCTCTCAAAGGCAAAAGGAAAAAGAAGAAAAAACAAGGTTCTCGTCAGAACACCGATGTCAGTATTAACTCCGAGAACACTGTGGTTGGGTCGGGGGCTTCCGAGAATTTCGAACAAATCAAAACCAAGATGGAAGCCATTGATGCACGCGGATATTTCTCCGACGCCGAGGAATCGGGGATGAGTGACGAACGATTCATTACCAAAGTCAAGGAAGAGAACCATGTATCAAAAGGCAAGGAGGGTGTTGTCAAAGTCAACAAGCGTCATAAGCTAAAGAAAAGGATGACGGATAACAACTTGTACTTTGAGCGGGAGTTAACGCAGGTGAATGCATGACTTCAATACTTGCAATGATTAACCTAACCAAGGACAAAAGTGTTTGCTCAAATATGTACATGTGTATATATGGCTTTAAGAGTCGGTTCAGGACGTGGCGACTGTACAAAGATAACTTTAGTTGTGTTTTAAAATCAAACGTTTTCGAGAAAGTGCTTCTGTTCTATATTGTTTACCTCAATGTAGAAGATAATCAAATATGAGAAACGCGTGTTTCTATGCTCATACCAAGGCTGTGATAGATGCAGATATTTGTATATAAGGATGTTGTGACGATATATGTACCTACTTTGTCATGCGTTCCGTACTATAGAGACAATGAATACAATGTTACACGTGTATTGCCCAGTATGTGTGAGATGTGTGTTATTTATAACAGAGCAACTGGTACGGTGTAATTCATTTAATTTATATTCCAGTACCCGCACCCAGCTCAGCTACAGAATACTTCAGTAACGAATGTTTGGTTGGCTTAATGGTCAATGCGTTCACACGAAACCAGTTTCATTTGTAACATTGGTAAATTGTGACAAATTTATGTTGGTTTCCACCGTAATGATACCAAACGTACTCACATTTAAATCAAGCTAATTTGGTACGCGGATAGGGTAATTACTAAAGGAACGATACATAATAGAGCTTTAACAACATGAAAAACATTCCAAATCATAATAGAGTTTTCTTGGATCATGTAAGGAGTTTACATTTATACAACAATTGCAAACCTGAGTAGTTTTTGTTATTACATTCCTGTCGAACCTGAAATGTCCCTGTTTAAGTCAGACCAGGATTAATGAGGTATCGATATTTATCATGTGTATTGCGATAGTAATCAAAGGAAATTCAATGTTTGTGACTGACACATTCTAGTGCAATCCTGTTTTCACTGAATGAGACGAATATAGAAGAAATAAGTAAGAAGTAAACCTTTCAAGAAGCACGCAAGGCGACTTTGATAACTATGAAATGATACTCACGTGCCAAAATGATTCCATCCTAATGATTATCAATTTCATTCGAATACACTTTAGATGCTGTTTATGTTTAGATGCTGTTTAAGTTTTCATTATTTCTTTATGCAAAGTAAGTTCTCTGAAACACTATGCATATTTCAATCGTCCAGTAACATGTTTGTCTCAAAGGAACAATATCAAACAAGATTCAGTCCCATATGATATAATTCTATAGTAAAATTTATATATTTTTCATGTATTTTGCTGAAGGAAATTCATATGTATTAGGTATTCTGGTCCAATAAAACAAAATACGTTTTGATGTGTACCTTACAATAGCGAAGATGCCAGAATGCTATCTCTGTTATTTCTTGAAACCATTATATAAACCTTTTGATTTTAGCTTTTTCCTCCGCCATGTTGCCTTGTCAAGCAATTGTCTTTTAACTTTTAATTTCAAAAAGATGTCTTTATTCGTTTGAGGGTGTTTTTGTGTAAATTATTAGTTTCGCAATGATATCTTTTTTAAAAAGTCAGCCACGTCATATCGTATCATCATAAACATGTTATTAGTTGTCACATGTATGTAACTATTTTGCAACCCCGTCCAGTATATGTTTGTGATCTCACGAAAGATTTGCTATATATTATATGTTATTCTATTTTGCTGAAGTATGTAAATAACTTATGTTTTATCGGAGAGATTTGCAATGCCCTTACAATTCCGTCCAAGGACTTTGATTAAAGTATGCTCCGTCCAGTATCATATGTATTGCCAGCATTGGTTTACTGTGTTGTGTGTTTCTATTTGACCCTGTTAAGTCTGTCATCTTGCATGCACCCCATCCCTCAACCAATAAAGTACATTCGTATACTTTGAATAGTCATGTGTTTTGTACATGTACCAATGTTGCTGTATATCACAAGTATGGTCGGCGTTGTTTCGAAAACAACGTCAACAATTGTTGGCAAATGTTACTGTCAGAAGAATGCCTTCACAAACAGTTGTCCCTTGTAAAGTTAAACTCAGACGTTAAGCGCTCTGCCGATGTAGGACTGCATCAAAGTCCATATTGCCAGTATACTAATAGAATCTTATTCAACTACTTATGTAAACACGAAACGATGTTTAGATTCAGATACATATTTGTTCAACTATGCCAAGATAGATAAGAATCTTTCCCTCATTTATCGTCCACCTTTGGAAATCGAGGACGATACTCAGAATACACTCCCGGAGTTTTATGTGTGTCTGAAATCTAAAATGATGGCAGTCTCTGCACTAAATTTCGATGCCACTTTCAGTAGTTCGCGCAATACCACCACATCCTCTTTGGGGCGTCTGGGGTTTTCGGTTGCTCATGTACTTCAAAGAACATATATTCATTCCACGGAAAGACCATTTGCTATTCCATCTATTTGACGGCGGCCAAACAATAACAGATTATGCTACAGACAACGTTGTGATTGTGTTGTACATATCGATGACACGCTATCAATCCATGCAGTCACTGAGCCTTTGGTCGCCTCTTACGAAAACCTATTCCGACCCGAAAATGCTCATGGGTACTACACTTTTGAATCAATGACATGGCGAAATAAATTTGATATGAGAGTTATGTGAAATGGTTAAACTTAACTAAACGAGACATGCCGCACAATGATGATTGAGTCAATCCCTCCCTTACTATGACACTTACATGGATATCATTTTCACAATACTAGTTAAAGTGTTTCTGGACATTTCAGCCATTACACTGCTTTTCCCATGGAATGGATATATTCGACATTAGTAATACTACAGTAAACATCGTCTATGTAGCTCTGCGCGTTCACTCAAAGTGACCTCAATAATATATTCACATTATGCAAATTCACAACACAACATAAGTGTGGTGCAATGTTACTATGTGTAATCTCAAAGGATCTTCTGAAATATAACCATTCAGGTATAAGCGAAATGTTATGCAAATAAGAATGGCAGAACCGTTTCCACAGTTGACTATACGAATTAAATGTATCACAATCATGAGTTTCTGAATCACTATCAAATAGTGAACAAAACCCAGATGTTCTCGAATAGTTGTGAGTGGCATCTATCACTAAATGCATGTAAAGGAAAAATCAATCGTTCATCTGAAAACAGACTGGACCATATCGTACAGGTCTGAAAAAGGAATTTCGCACATTGTTTTTGGCACTGATTCATCAAAGTGAGGTATTCTCCAAATACCCCCCAAAAGCTGTTTGAAAGCTGTACCAAGACCGTGAATGTTGCAACCACTATCAAACAACTTTTGAGCATGTCTCTTTTAAAAAAGCCCAGGAACAACATGCTTGATTGCGTTCTTAAATGAAACAACAAAGGTTGGAGCTGCTGCTGTTGCTGTCGCTGAGTATTTGAAAATTGAAGTCATCCCTCTTGCCACACTGTCTTGTGGAGGGGATTTTACAGAAGAGTAGAAAAATGGCTAATTAAACTACAGTCCTATGGTAGCGCCCAATGCAGCTCAAAACTGTTAATTCATAATGCCAGTGTCATGGAAGTATGTAACCAATAGCCAGTATGGTAACATTCTTCCATGACTATTTGCAGAAATTACATCCGTTTGAAATGGAAGCAATCAGAAAACTAATTAAAATGCAAATGGATAAAGAGAAAAAAATAGTTATTCATAGACATACAAGGAAATATGCCAAAATGCAGGAAAATATGGTCGAGACAGCAATAGAGACTCTTTACACATTCTCACCATTTTCGTTGCATCTCACGTCAAAGGCACTGCACGTGAATGTAGACACATTTCGTTTGATATCTAACTCAGTGTATTTAAAATATAGAAGAAAATTAACATAATATTTTAACTGCTGCAAATATTGCTAAACATTCGCGTGCTTGCGTGTATCTATTATGCTATTATATGCTTATGAATATAGTAGATTTCAATATGTAGATTCTGGAGATCATCAAAAAAGAAGAAAATCATCTCACAAGTTTGAACATTATTTTTTCATAGCATAAAGTGAGAAATTTATTGTAAAATCATAAATAATAACATTTACATGTCTACACACTTGACAAATGACACCTATTTCATACTTTACGTTTCACAACACACAGACAGACACGTATATCAATCACAGTTAAAACAGTTCCAACCAATAGCTGATCAAGGATCTAAATTTTAAATTAACATAGAGAAGATGTAGGGTTGAGCCAACTTCTGCTAACTTGCTAGTCAGGTACAAGCGATATCGTGATTTAAAAACATCAGACGTACCTACTCAATTATTTGGAACCACTTTCTCCCCTTTTTGGTTACTTTAATTAGAGCGCTAATCCCAGGTAAGCACTACTATGACATTAGGGGATGTTAACAGTCGTTATATGCTGTCGTAACATGCCAAACCGCGTCTGTATGACGTTGACTTGTTTATGCCGTGTATCGACATATGTTTACCCAGGTGGGTTTAAATGTAGCCCGTGGGGAAGGAACATTTGTGTTTGTCCATTGGACACATTCTTGAATGGATTTCAAAATGTTGCTTTTCGAGTTTGAATATTTGGAATCCAACACAAGATTGAGAAACGATGTACATTGACATTTGCAGGGTGATCTACACAGTCACATTTAAGCAGTTAGGGGTGGTCATCTTGATGGGAATGCGGGATGAGACGGAAGCGGCGGCGAGATTTCTGCGAGTGAAAAAATGACGTATTTACTCATCACATGGGGATGATGCTTTCAGCTGTGCGTTTCTTTGTCAAAAAAAGGGGGGGGGGGGGGGTTAGCCTAGTGGCAAGTGGTTAAAGCGTCCGCTCGTCATGCCGAAGACCCGGGTTCGATTCTCCATATGGGTACAATGTGTTAAGCCCATTTCTGGTGTCCCCCGCCGTGATGTTGCTGGAATATTGCTAAAATCATCCTCACTAAAAACCATACCCACTCACCCCCTGAAGGAGAGAAAAAACAAATAGGCCATTGTTATGATGTCAAAATATTTAAGGTTTAAACTGGATAAGCTCAACATAATCCTTAACTGAGTCTGTTATGTAATGCAAGATGGTTTCAGAACATACATTCTTACATTTAAAGTAAAACTACACAGAGCCTCTTTGTCGATCGGAATACTTCAACAACATGTTCAAAATTTAAACAGGACCAACATTTCTCTGGGCTGTGAACTGAAAATCCTATCTGGGCTGTCTGGAGCTGGAGGTAGCCATGGCTGCCAGCGAGTTCTCGCGTGCCACAGTCCCAGGTCATTATACAGATGAATTAATGATATCAGTTATATTAATTGTTAATTAACTTTTTACAGCTCCATGTTACCCACCCGATCCGAGTAGCGTGACGCACCTGGGTCACTGGGATAGGAAGGTGATGAGGCTTAAACAACGGGACAATGGTTATCAGTGTCAGTAGGGGAATAGTTAAAACACGCGGCAGGTTTGTTTGTTGATCTTGGTGATATGACTCGACAAAGGATTATGACGTTTTGTTCGGTTCATCATTGGGGCTCGTCACACTCGGGACCCATGTTGCAATTTAGATTCTTGTTTTTGTTTTGTTGTATTAACACTTTTGTTTTGTTGTGTTAACACTGCTGGTACAGATTTTGTTACAGCGTTGTCAGAAACAGATGATTATTAGTATTGTTCTCTAGTTTATGTTTTGAAATCGAATTACCCTGGAATCGTCACTGGTTTGTATTATATTTAAAGGAGAAAAGACCGGACACAATAAACTGAACTTCTGGAATATTTTCCCAATGTGCGTACGTTATATACGAAGAAGATACATATGCAAATGTTCAAAGACAAAAACTGGATTAGAAATCGATTATCCATGAACACGTCAAACTTTCCACCCTTCACCACAACAGCTGATAATTTAAATATACATGTACACATCAGTGTGATTTTGTAACCATCCCTGATTCCGTTTTACTGTTGTATCTGAAAAAACAATAAACAAGAGAGCTTTGAAAATCAGCAACATTCTTCCTGATAAAACTTAAGGGTTCCACACCTTGATACAACTAACGTCATTAGTCATATCGTATAGTCCTTACAAACCCATGGTAGTATAGTGCTGACAACCCCACTGTCGTATAGTGCTGACAAACCCATGGTCGTATAGTGCTCACAAACCCATGGTTGTGTAGTGCTGACCACTGTCGTATAGTGCTGACAAACCCATGGTAGTATAGTGCTGACAACCCCACTGTCGTATAGTGCTGACAAACCCATGGTCGTATAGTGCTGACAAACCCATGTTTGTGTAGTGCTGACAAACCCATGGTCCTATAATGATGACACACCCATGGTCGTATAATGCTGACAAACCAATGGTCGTGTAGTGCTAACAAACTCATGGTCGTATAATGCTTACAAACCCATGGTCGTATAGTGCTGACAAACCCATGGTCGTATAGTGCTGACAAACTCATGGTCGTATAGTGGTGACAAACCCATGGTCGTAAAATGCTGACAAACCCATGGTCGTATAGTGCTGACAAACCCATGGTCGTGTAGTGCTGACAAACCCATGGTCGTATAATGCTGACAAACCCACTGTCGTATAGTGCTGACAAATCCATGGTCGTATAACGCTGACAAACCCAAGGTCGTGTAGTGCTGACAAACCCATGGTTCTATAATGCTGACAAGCCTATGGTCGTATAATGCTGACAAACCCATGGTCGTATAGTGGTGACAAACCCATGGCCGTATAGTGCTGACAAACCCATGGTCGTATAGTGCTGACAAACCCATGGTCGTGTAGTGCTGACAAACCCACTGTCGTATAGTGGTGACAAACCCATGGTCGTTTAGTGCTTACGAACCCATGGTCGTATAGGGCTGACAAACTC